GGGATTCGCTCTCCTTTTCCACACCCCCTGCTTGCCCCCAGAGCCCAAGGGAGGTGCAGCTGCTCTGGGGCAATGGGCAAATCGCAGCCACGGGAACTCTGGGCCCCGGGGGGGGGGCAGCCCCATCCACTCCCCTCATTCCCAGCACCAGGGCAGCCTGTCCCCGCTACCCCCCCGGGCTGGTTCCAGCCTGGCTGGAAAGGCCTGAGGCCACGGGGTGCCCCATGGCGGAGGCTGAGTGCAGTACCAGGGCAGGGCCCCAGTGTTCTTTGAGCTGGGTGGGGCCTGCCCAAGTGAGACCCACTGGTGGGCGTGTCACAGCCCCCCACCCCTGCACACTTGCCCCAGGCGGGGATGGTTTGTAGGATGCGCTGCAGGGCCGGGCGGGTGGTGCCTGGGCCATGGGGGGGTGGGGTTGTGCTTCATGCTGGGGGTCAACAGGGTGTTTCTCTGGGTGCCCGGAGCAGCCCTCAGCTGGGGGTGGGGGGCGAAGGCGGCTCAGTGAGATGCACAGGCAAAGCCCCCACCCCATCATTTCCAGCGCTCTGGTTTTCCCCTCCGCCCCCTTCCCGCGTTGCTAACGAAGGACTCAGAAATGTTAATTACCTTTTCATTTCCATGGAAAGAGCTGCTCAGAGGCTGGGAGCCTGGAGCCTGGGACTAGATCTGTGCACAGAGGGACCCGGGTCCTGGCACTAGTGCACGGGGGGGGATTGTAGATCTGTGCACAGAGGGATACGGATCCTGGCACTAGTGCAAAGGGGAACTGTAAATCTGTGCACGGGGGACATGGATCCTGGCACTAGTGCACAGGGGAACTGTAGATCTGTGCACAGAGGGACACGGATCCTGGCACTAGTGCACAGGGGAACTGTAGATCTGTGCACAGAGGGACACGGATCCTGGCACTAGTGCACAGGGGAACTGTAAATCTGTGCACAGAGGGACACGGATCCTGGCACTAGTGCATGGGGGGGACTGTAAATCTATGCACGGGGGACACGGATCCTGGCACTAGTGCACAGGGGAACTGTATATCTGTGCACAGAGGGACATGGATCCTGGCACTAGTGCAAAGGGGAACTGTAAATCTATGCACGGGGGACATGGATCCTGGCACTAGTGCACAGGGGAACTGTATATCTGTGCACAGAGGGACACGGATCCTGGCACTAGTGCACAGGGGAACTGTATATCTGTGCACAGAGGGACATGGATCCTGGCACTAGTGCAAAGGGGAACTGTAAATCTGTGCACAAGAGGACACGGATCCTGGCACTAGTGCACAGGGGAACTGTATATCTGTGCACAGAGGGACACGGATCCTGGCACTAGTGCACAGGGGAACTGTATATCTGTGCACAGAGGGACATGGATCCTGGCACTAGTGCAAAGGGGAACTGTACATCTGTGCACAGAGGGACACGGATCCTGGCACTAGTGCACGGGGGGACTGTAAATCTGTGCACGGGGGACACGGTTCCTGGCACTAGTGCACAGGGGAACTGTAAATCTGTGCACAAGGGGACACAGATCCTGGCACTAGTGCACAGGGGAACTGTATATCTGTGCACAGAGGGACACAGATCCTGGCACTAGTGCACAGAGGTACTGTATATCTGTGCACAGAGGGACACAGATCCTGGCACTAGTGCACAGAGGTACTGTAAATCTGTGCACAAGGGGACACGGATCCTGGCACTAGTGCACGGGGAGGACTGTACGTCTGTGCACAGAGGGGTGCATGTCCTGACTCTCCCCACACATTCTATGGGTCACCCCTGCCCCTGGAGCCCCTTCTCTTTGCCCTCCTCTCCTGTAGCTACAGCGATGAACCTGCAGCCTCCCCCTCCCGCTGCCTCGGTCTCTCCTCCTTCCCTGGCACCATCTCTTTGTTCCCTTCAACTGTTCTCTGCCTCTCGCTCCTCCCTGCCACGCCCCCTCCCTCCCCTCCCCTCGCTGCTCCTGCTGGCCTCCCTTCCATGCTGCCCCCCCCCCGCCACTGCCAGCCCCATCGGCAGGTGCAGCCAGGTCCCAGGACCTGCCGGCCCCCAGCCCCCCAGCGGAGGCCTCTCGTTGCCAGCCCTGTTCTGCCCGCCCTGCGGGAGCGAGAGCCCCTGGCTCCCCCCACCCCGCCGAACAGGGTGGGACCGATACAGTTTGTGCTCGCCTGGGGGGTCCTTCCCACTCCTCCGCTCACTCCTGCCTCTCTCCGACCCCCGCACGCCCTGGGCTCCTCCATGTATGACGACTCCTATATCCATGGCTTCGAGGACTCCGAGGTGGTGAGTGGGGGTGCCGGCTTGGGGGGGGGTTGGCAGGGAGCCCCCTCCCCGCAGGGCTGGGAGTGCCGGGAGTGCTGCCCTTGGTTGGGGGCTCTGGGTTTCTGGCAGGCCTCCTCCCCCCGGTTATTTATACAGCGCCATAGCCACGGTGGCATTTCCAGCAGTGCTCCCGTAAGGTGGGGAGAGCGGGTGCGGGGGGCTGGATTCTGAGCAACAGCTGGCACCCTGGGGGGCTCAGAGTCCTGGATGGGCACCTATGTGCTGGCATGGGGCGGGGGTGTTACAGCCCCTCCCCCCCGACATGGGGCAGTGGGTTTTGTCTCTGCGCCTGGCAGGGGAGCGCCAGGTTGGGGTGTGTGTGTGTGTGAGGAGTCAGAGATGCTCTTGGCTTTGTCGGAATGTGGGGGGCAGGGATTCTGGGGGCACCCCCCGGCTGGGGGTGAGGTGCCCGGCAAAGGGGGTGGGCTGTGCCCTGAGCTGGGGGAAAGTCGCTCTGCAGGTGCCAGGCATGGGGGCACTGTGCATAGAGGGGCTGCTCCATGACCCCACTTAGGTCAGAGCTCGCGGAGCCCATGGCCGGCCTCAGCTGCAGGGTATGGGAGAGCCCCTCGCTGCGCCCGCCTGCAGAGGATACCCTGGGCCCGTCCCAGCCAGGCCATGGGGCTGCGCCCCCCGTCGGGACAGAGCCATGTGCCCTGCCCCCCCCACGGCTGCACCACAGGGCAAGGAAGAGAAGGCCAGGGCATGGGGGGGATGTGGGAGGCAGAGGGACACAGGGCAAAAGGGGGACAGGCGGGAGGGGAGCATGGGGGTGCTGGGACCAGCTGTGCCCATGGCAGTCTGGCTGAGCCTGGCAGGGGCGGTGGGAGTCGCTCGGGGGGGGGGGCGTTGCTTTTCAGAAACAGAGCTGAGGACCTATAAATATTTCACTGCAGCTTCTGCTTTTGTTCTGGGGACACAGCAGGAGCTGTTTATTGAAGCAGGCGGCTCCCGCTGAGGGGTGGGGGGCAGAGTACACCCCCCCTTCCAGCTCACCCCAACAGCCACTGCACGTTCCCCTGCCTCATGCACCCAGCACCAGGGTCAACAGGGCACACGGGGGGGTTTCACCAGCAACGCTGCCTAGGCCAGGGGGTTCACTGGGGAGCTCAGCACGGGGGTAACACAGGGCCAGGGGCTCACGAGGAGTAGAGTGCGGGGGGGAGCTCCAGGGGACAGGGTGTGGGGAAAGCTGGGGGGGCTGGATGCTGTTGGGAGGTGCTGGGGGGCAGGGCAGGCCGTCCCACGTTAGCCATGGCTGGTGAATGGGGCAGAGGCTCTGTCCCGCGCCGTCTGGGGGCTGGAGTGACTCACCAGTGTGTAGCTGGGTCGTGCGAGGCGCTGCCCGGTGGGGTCGGGTGCCCACCGTGGGCACATCTGCTTGGCTCTGAGGTGCGTGGGCTGGCGCCAGGGGGCCAGATAATCTGATGAAACAACAAAACTGCCCCCTCTGAGGCTGCTGGCACCTGGCATTTCCCAGGGTCTGCGGAGCCACAGGGAGCCCTGGGACGGGCCGTGAGGAGCGTGGGCAACAGGGGACCTGGCGGCTCCTCTGGGTCTGTCCCCCCAGCCGGCAAAGGGTTAAAGGTCACTGCAGGGTCAGCATTTCCCGGGGGGGGTCACTCAGCTGGGAAAGGAAGGGAAGGTGTTTCTGGCTGGCATGGGGGGGGGCGCCCCTCCTCTGGTCTCCCTCGTCTGATGCCCCGTCCTACTGAGACCCTGCTGTCTGGCCCAGCAGGCGGTGAAAGATGGTGAGGTCTCTCCCCCACCCCGCAGTCATTTCCCTCCCCCTGCCATGCGGAGCCAGAGGGTGCATAGTGCCCAGGCTAGGGGGCGGTGGGGCAGGACTCCTGCACTGAATAATGGGGCTGACCAGTGGGGTAGAAAGACACCAGGGGCTGGAGTGAGTCTCACCCACACACCCTCTCCCTGTGACCAGGGCATTCACAGGGCTGTCTGGAGGAACTCAAACCCGAAATTGCAGAACTGCTAATTACGGGAACCCATCGCCAAAATCCACCTCCGCCCCAGTCGAGGGCTGGAGGGGAGCAAATGTGACGCCGATTTTTAAAAATCCCAAGGGGATCATGGCAATTACAGGCCAGCGAGTCTAACTTCAGTCCCAAGCGAAGTGGTAGAAACAATAGTGAAGAACAGAATTATCAGCCACAGAGATGGGGAAGAGTCACCCTGGCTTGTGTCACGGGAAATCGCGCCTCGCCACTCTATTACAATTCTTTGAGGGAGTCGACAAGCATGTGGACAAGGGGGATCCGGTCAACTAGCGGATCTGGATTTTCCGACTGACCTTGACGAGGTCCCTCATCCAAAGGCTCTGAAGGAAACTACGTAGCCTGGGATGCGAGGGAAGCTCTTCTCGTGGGTCAGTAACTGGAGGAAGGACAGGAAACAAAGTGTGGGAATAGACAGGCGGGAACCGCAGGGATCTGTACAGGGCCTAGGGCTGTTCACCATATACGTTAGTGAGCTGGGGAAAGGGGTAAACAGGGAAGTGACAATATTACTCGAGATGGTTCAGCCCAAAGCAGGCTGTGAAGAGCTACAAAGGGACCCCCCCAAACGAGGGGCGGGACAAGCAAATGGCAGCTGACATTGGGCGCTGAGCCGTGCAAAGGACCGAGCACTGGAAGTGCGAATCCCATCTCCACACAGACAGTGATGGGGTCTCACGTCGCTGGGACCACTGAGAACAGCCTGGAGTCACCGCTCAATGGTCAGGGAGGCCAGCCGGTGCCTCTGGGATCTGGTCGTGTTTGTTCATTCACTCCCTGTAGGCCTGGCAGGCGTGGAGCCAGGGGAGCTGGCAGCCACGGCGGCTCAGTGTTTACCCCAGGCGGGTGCTGGCACGCCCTCCGCTCGCTGGCATGGCCGTGCCGCTGACTTCACCCTCGCTGGAGCCTGGCATTTGCTCCCTCTGCCATCTGGGGTGGAACCCGGGCCAGGCGCGGAGGAGACGCCCAGCAGGGCGGGGAGGGGGGATAAGGGACCATTCCTGCCCCCGGGGGCTGCACCTGGACCAGGTTGCTCTCCCTGAGCAGGGCTGGGGGAGGGCAGGACTGTCTGACGCCACCAGCTGCTCTGTGCCTGCTGCCTCTTAAAGAAACATGCACGGCCCTGGGGTGGCTGGCCCTGGGCTCCCCCTACGCTGCGCTCCCCATCCCCCAGTGCAGACACACCAGCCCCATGTGACCCCCCTCTCCCCACATCCTTCAGTGCGGCCGTGCAGCGCTGGTGCAGAAAGTGACTTGTGCTAGCTTACCATAGCCTGGGGGCTTGCACGGCTACAAGCCGCATTTCACACTAGCAGCTACACTTGGGGGTCGCAGGGGGGCAGCTGCAAGGTGTTATTTTTAATCACTTCAGGGGCTGTCAGCAGCACCCACCGCCCTGTACCTCCCCCCCGCCAAATATCCCAGGGCGGGTCTGGGGGAGTCAGTGCTGTCCACAGGAGCACAGATCTGGATGGACTTGGAGAGGTGGGGGTGGGTGGGGGGGTCGGGCGTCTGGGCGCAGGGCTTCTGGGCTACAGCTCCCTGTCCTGTGGCGATGGCACTCAGGGTCCCCTGCCCCGCAGGGCTCAGCCGATTCCTACACCAGCCGGCCGTCCCTGGACTCAGACGTGTCCCTGGAGGAGGAGCGCGAGACGGCCCAGCACGAGGTGGAGAACCAGGCACAACAGCAGCTGGAGAGGGCCAAGGTAGCCGGGGGGGGGCAAGCCGGGGGCAGCCCTGGCTCTGCATGGGAGGGATGCTGCTGGCTGTACCAGACCACAGCCCTGGGGCCCTCTAGACCCTTCCTCGCAGCCTGCTCCAGCAGCAGTAGAGGGCCTTGGACACACGCAGCTGGGCAGCTTTGCTGCCAGCCACTAGGGGGCAGCGGTGAACACACACAAACACGTGTGCACACGCTTAGCCAGATGATGGAGTATCATAGAGGTGAGGGTCCCGGAGTCCGGCCCCTCTCCCTTTGGCCCATCCAGCGTGGCATCCCCTCCTTCCTGCTGCCCGGGGCCCATCCTGCCGGGCCCCCTGCCATTGCCCTTGCCGGGGGGTCAGAGGGAAGCGGGATCCCTCGTACCACTGGGCCCAGGGTGTGACGCTGGCCGGCTCCTAGCCGCAGATGGCATGGGGGGGGGGGGGCATGGACGCCCAGCTGCCCCGTACTGACCCCGACCCCCTGCTCTCCCCCAGCACAAGCCGGTAGCGTTTGCCGTACGCACCAATGTCAGCTACTGCGGGGCCCTGGATGAGGAGTGCCCAGTGCAGGGCTCTGCCATCAACTTCGAAGCCAAAGACTTCCTGCACATCAAGGAGGTGAGTCTGGACTTGGGCTAGAGGGGGAGGGGCTGGGAGCCTGGACACCTGGGTTCTGATGCTGGCTTTGTCACCATCTCCCTCAGGGACGGGGGGCTTCCCTCCCCCCCCCCGAATCCCATCCTTCCCAGGGCAGGGGGCTTGGTCTTGCGCCCGCCCCCGTAACAGCCCCTGCTGGTGTCTCCCCAGAAATACAGCAATGACTGGTGGATCGGGCGGCTAGTGAAGGAGGGGGGGGACGTCGCTTTCATCCCCAGTCCCCAGCGGCTGGAGGCCATGCGGCTGAAGCAGGAGCAGAAAGCCAGGTAAAGGGGCCGGCGGGGGGAATTCTATGGGCCTTTCCCCCTCCCCTGCCACCTGGCCCCCGCGGGTCATAGCCACCAGCAGAACGGCCACCCTGCACCTTCAGCACCACAGCCCAGAGCTCTGCTGTGAGCTAAAGGGCAGCTCCCTTAGCAGGCAGCAGTAGCAGGCTGTTATCCTGTCGGGACCAGCCACGGGGGCGGGCATGGTGCACGGTGCACGCTGTGTGGGCATGTTACACACAGAGTTCCCGGTGGGTTTCCCCCCCTCCCCCCGGGGCTTCCCCTCTACTCACTGTGGCTTCTCCCCAGGAGATCTGGCAACGCCTCCGGCCTCGGGGACCCCAGCAAGCGGCGATCACCTCCCCCGTCCTTAGGTAACGGCTGCAGCACAGGCCGGTGGGGAGGTCCCACACGCAACCCCAGCCCCCCCCAACCCACCTCCCTTCACACTCAGCTCCAGCTCCCCCACCTCTGCACACTGCCCCTCCCCTCAGAATCTGGCCCCCCAGCCTGCCCTCCCCCTTCACTGCCCAGCTCCAGCTCCCCCACCTCTGCACACCGCCCCTCCCCTCAGAGTCCGCCCCCCCCCTCACTGCCCAGCTCCACATGGGGGGGGGGGGACACAGGCCAGGCTGGAGGGGCCCTATGGGCTGATCCCTCCTCCCCTGTGAACTCACCTCCCGGGGCTGCCGAGGGGCCAGTGCCAGGAGTCCCACCCTGCCACATCCCCCTGGGGCGAGGCGCCGGCTTCACCCGTGCTGTGGCCCTGCCCTGGCTACCCCCTGGGCCGCCCCCGCCAGCGGAGATCATGGGCTGGGTCGGGGTGCAGCTCACCAAGGGAGAGGGCTGAGCTCAATGCTGGGCCAGGCAACCTAGCGCTTCCCCCCCCCCCGCAGTCAGGGGGGCTCCGGGGTGACCCTGGGGGAA